TTCAGTTTTTCTCCATTCAGAATGATGCTAGCCTGAGGCTTAGCATATATAGCTTTTACAATGTTGAGGTAAGTTCCTGTTATCCCTAGTTTTTCTAGTGTTTTGAACATAAAGGGATGCTGAACTTTGTCGAATGGTTTTTCTGCATCTATCGAGATGATCATGTGGTTCTTATGGTTAAGTCTATTGATGTAGTGAATAACATTTATTGATTTCCGTATATTGAACCAGCCTTGCATCCTGGGGATGAATCCTACTTGATCATGGTGCACAATTTTTTTGATATGCTTTTGTATTCGATTCATTGGTCATATTCTTTATTGATCTTCTCTGCTGCTTCCTCTTCTCTCTGGTCAGTTTTCTTTTTGATTCTACGTGTTTATTAAAATGATCATCCTTCTTGCCATAGCTCCAGCTACCTTTATTCATTCATTTATTAATTTATCCAAGAATTTTGATGCCTTGCTCTGAACAACCCTCTGATAGTCTGTTTCACTGAACCCCATTTTGTGTCATGTGATACATGGATGCATAGTTGTATGTGTAGCTGAAACTAATTAAGTATATAAAGAGAGGAAASCATTATTCTATAAGACATGCTAAGGGAAGAAATAGGATTTTGTAATCAATATTAAAATTACCAAATAAACATTTACTAAATGACTATTAACTTAGACTTAATAAAAGGATCATCATCTATTCAATTAATCAAGCTAGAAGTCATTTTGTTTGGTAATTTTAATATTGATTACAAACTCCTATTTCTTCCCTTAGCCTGTCTTATCGAATAATGGTTTCCTCTCTTTACATACTTCTACTTAATTAGGGTAAGCTGTTATCCCTTATTTTTGAGCTCTTCTACCTCCTTATATCAGAGCCAAGTTTGCTTTAATGAAATGCCATTTTTCTTGTATAACTGCAGGGCTAAAGAACTTAAGTGACTCCTTTTTTGCCCCCAGTCAAAACTCTTGGATTTTGAGATCTTTGGACAGACATAGTCACTGAATGTTTGTGTTCGATACTGGTCCATCTCTGCTGTTTATTTCTCATATTTCTTGTTTATGGTGCTGTGTGTGTGTGTGTGCACGCGCGCGTGCTTAGCTATTTTGACTTGCAGCTGTTTTTCTAGGAATATTATTTATGGGACATTTTAAAGATTTATAATTAAGGTATAGTCCTCTGGCAAAGTTTAGTGGTTTCTTCTGTTGGGTACTTGGAGGCATTGCCTGGCCAGGTCTGCTTTAAATTCATTCATGACAGTGTTCTTTTGGATTCCTATGGTGATGTGCATTTAGGCTAGAATTCTGCAAGGACTTGTGCTTTTGACAGCTTTTGAGAGATGGGTTTCCTCTACTCACTGTCAAGACACTTGTCCTGGGAGTGGGTACTTGGATTCACTTCTGGCTCACCCTTGCAATGAATATATAGTCTACCAGGCTTTCAATCTCATGAGGGTCTGGTTTTCTGATGGGTTCCTTATCTTAGAGTAGCATAGCCTTTTTTTCCCACTGAAGTCCATAACTCTATTTCTACTTTAGAAGAATGCCCTCATAGCAGAACCGGTTTCTCTTAGCTCAGATCTTGGAGTATCTGCCTCCATATAGATTGTGCCTTGATCAATCTGAAGCTTTTAGGATTGAGTATGTGACATTGTAATGATTTCAGTGGATATTTATGTCTGGTTAACTTGAAAGTTAGTCTTTTTCTGTTTTCTGAGATGTTGTTTTAAAAGGGATTTGTCACCTTGTCTCACAGTGTGAATGCATGTAAGTTTGTTTTCTTTATTAAGAAATGTGAATTGTTTTTTGTATTCAGATTATGGATTGTTAACAACACCCCAGCTGCACTACATGGTATGTTGTCGAAATACCAGTGGCCAGTATGGAATGGCAACCATAGAAGGTTACTACCAGAAACTCTCCAGGGCTTTTGTGGAACTTACCAAACAGGTGAAAAAAACTTTTGAACATGCTTAGAAGTTAAACAACCTGAATAACATGATCAGTGAAACAAATGACATTTTGGCACCCTACTCCTTTCTTTTCCCCAAATGTGGCTTATCTCTGTTTCTCTCTAGGGCTCCACAAGTCTGTGTGCCTTCTAACTCTATGTTGGTATTTGCTTGGCAAGGCACATAGTATATTTTGAGATCATTGAGGGAGAAAATGTAGGGTTCTTGTTTACAGTTATCATAAGTATTTATGGAGATAAAGTTGAGTGTTGTTGGCTTAAGGAGGTAGTACTGTTGGGAAACATTTTCTTCTAGGCATATAAGCTTGTTAAACCTGGAGAGATTTGAGGGGAATAATTCATTTGATCAACAAATACTGAGTTAATGGCATAGTTTAACCAAAGCAAAGCAAAATATAACATTTCTATTTTGGGGTGAGGATGGGTGGCAGAGGATATGGACAGTTTAAGAAAATAAAACAAAATATACCTGCTAATGATATATGCTGTGAAGAAAATGACACAGTTGTTATTACTGTTCTTTCGTCTATATGTATATATAGATTCTCACATTTGAATGACTGTTATGTAATATAGGCTATAGTGTTTTTAGGGAACTCTTACTCAGGAAAATTCTAATAAAGCTTCATTTCTACAAGTTGTTCAATTGGTGAACCTATTCCAGTGTCTAGGGTGTTTTAAAATTTTATTTGGCTTTTCAGTTTTCATCTGAATGTATTTTACTTCAGTTTACCTGGTTAAAATAGATAAGTAAATGGAAATAATGGAAGATGTTTTATCATATATATATATGTATGCTTTCTTTATATTTCACTTTTAATTTTGTAACTTGAAAATTTTCTTCCACGTCTTTTTACTTTCCAGGCTTCCTGCAGTGGAGATGAATATAGATCACTGAAGGTTGACTGTGCAAATGGCATAGGGGCTTTGAAACTGAAAGAAATGGAACACTACTTCTCACAGGGACTGTCAGTTCAACTCTGTAATGATGGGACCAAAGGGAAGCTCAATCATTTATGTGGGGCTGACTTTGTAAAAAGTCATCAGAAACCTCCACAAGGTATGTAGTAATAGGTCTATAAAAACTATTTTGAGAACTGGAACCAGTCTCATTTACAAACCAAGATGGCCACTTGTATTAAGAATTCTGTAACTGTAGGGTGCTGATGATACATGCCTGTTATCTCCACTAGTAGGCTGAGGCAGGAGAAATACAAGTTYGAGGCCAGCTTCAGCAAGTTAGTGTGACTCTAAACAACTTAGCTCGACCCTGTCTCAAAATAAAAAATAAGAAGGTCTGGGGAGGTAGCTCAGTGGTAAAGTGCCCCTCAGTTTAATCACTGGTACCCCTGCCCCCCCAAAATTGTGGAGCTGGTCCTGGCTCTGTCACTTTTGGACACTTATGACTCTTCCTACTTGTCATTGCCATTCAAAACATGGTCTGCTCTTTTTGCCTGTAAGTCATACCCGTGCTCAGAGTCCTCCTTCCTGTAGGAAAGAGGAAAGGGAAAGCATAGCCAGAGAGTGCCATTCTAGAGCAATGGTTCTCAAATATCAGCACACATTAGAATCTTCTTGTTAGCCTGAAGATTTCTGGGCCCCATTCCTGAGCTTCTGATTTGCTGSATTTAGGGTAGGATTTGCTTAGGATAGAAATTTGCATTTCTGTCAAGTTTCTGGGATTTGATGAAAGTGCTGGTCTCTTGACCACACTTTGAGAATCACTGATCTAAAGGTAGCAATAGTAAGTAGCATTGTCTCTCCTTTTGTCTGCATTAGATACACTTTGGAAAGGGAAGGTAACACTGCTTCTGTAATTGTCCTTGGACTTAGGGTTTTCCACAGTGGGCAAGTTAGGAGGAAGACTGTTCTTCAGATTGTAGTTATAGTAAGAGATGTTCTAGATTTATCTTCATTATAGATCCTAAATTATTATCCTACAGTAGGCCAAATATGGCTTGCAGATTGTTTTGCTTGGTCTGCTAAGTTTGCCCACATATTAAATTGCATTAGGTGCCACTGTGTAAAAATTCAGTGATTTCTTTTAAATATTGCTGTCAACTCTTTACCAAAATCACAAAATGTCTATTCACATGTCATTAATCTATTGTTGCCCCTTCAAATAGGACATTCAGTCTTGAACTCTACACACTTCACATAGTTGTGGCACTTGTTCATTTATTCTGCTTTACTCTATTAAGCATTTGAAGTTTCAATTTAGTCAACCCATTTGATCCCCTTTTCACTGAATTGCTTATTTTGACTTCACTGACGCTTTAATTCTGTATCACTCATTTATCCACATACTGAATACTGAGCCCTCACTCTCCATTGCTCTAGGCACTGGGCCCTTAGTGTTCATAAAACCATAGCCCTCGCTTTCCAGAAGCCTACATTTTGTCCTGTAGGTAACCTTTTATCACACTCATGACAAAGCCTTTCACTTCTGAGCTGCTTCATGCTGGCTTTCTTACTCTGCTGCTATTAAGGCTAAGGAACAGCCAGATTTTCTAGTAAATTTGATGGGATAGTTGCTAAAAATAACTTTATGTAAATTTCACGAGTTATCACACTCATGACAAAGCCTTTCACTTCTGAGCTGCTTCATGCTGGCTTTCTTACTCTGCTGCTATCAAGGCTAAGGAACAGCCAGATTTTCTAGTAAATTTGATGGGATAGTTGCTAAAAATAACTTTATGTAAATTTCACGAGCCAGTTTTCTCTCACAGATGATAATTCTTTGCTTTAATAGTATATGTTGTTATTGGTGTTATGAAAAGATAAAAACTTCTATTAGAACTGTCAAAGCATATACCTCATTTATTACTGATTTTTTTTTAATATGTAAAGGACAGCACAGTACTGGATAAATTATATTCAGAAATCCCTGTAGCTTTCAAAAAAAGTTAAATGAGAAACCAGTCTAGCCAAAATGAAATTTTAATATTATAGCAAGTTAACCATAAATAGATTTTGTTCCTTTTTCAATATGCTTAGAAAGAATTTTACCTGTAAAAACTGCCAATGAACTGGATGCTGTTTAAAATTTTTTTTAATAAGGATAATTTTAAACATCTTTTGGAAAATTTATAGTAGACATGTTATAATGCATAAGGGCAGTTTCACTCATGCTTTATTGAAAAAAGTTTCCCTAGTTACTAGTGAAGACAAAAACCCCAAACTTATTTTTATTTTGATTTTCATTCCCATTTCTTGGACTGAAATGCATATTCAATCTTTCTGTGTGCTAGGAATGGAAATAAAGTTCAATGAAAGATGCTGTTCCTTTGATGGAGATGCAGACAGAATTGTGTATTACTACTGTGATGCTGATGGTCATTTTCATCTCATGGATGGAGACAAGATAGCAACATTAATTAGCAGCTTCCTTAAAGAGCTCCTGTTGGAGGTATGATAGGGAATGAGCTGCCTTATAAAACCAGAGGTAGTTCTGTATCACTTACTTGGATGTCTCATAGGCACAATTTACGGCAAGTTCTTTATGTATGTGGCCAAAAAATACAAAGAAGATGTGGTAATTACAGTCATTTCAACATTGAGGCATTGATTTTGAAACCTGAAGTTTCTCTTTTCTTCCTGGTATAAGCTAGGATTTATGATTTAAAGTTTTATGAGGTTATAAAGTTTTCATTTTTTCATAACTGACACATTGGTGATAATTCTACCAGTTAGCCTTAAAGCCCAAAATTCTAACASAAAATATCATCTGAGATTTATTTATTATGATTATAAGCTTAGTAATGTGTGAGATCCCCCACTTTTTGGAAATCTCTTTCACTAAGTTTAAGATATAATCTGGAAAAGTATATTTAAGAACTTAATACATAATTTTATTAAAAATTTAAAGAGAGAGAGATTAGGAGACCACAAACTTATTTAAATATGATTCCTCTTAAGTAATGCTGAAAAATATTTGAGGTTTTTTTCCTGGTATACATGTAAAATTTCAGTAAGTCATTTATTGATTCAGTAGAAATGGCAGATAATTTTGTTATCCTTTAGAATTCTCACTGTTTTTGTAAACTATGGTTTTGATCTCAAATTATTGTTTTTATCTAGGTTGGAGAAAATTTGAATGTTGGGGTTGTACAAACTGCATACGCAAATGGAAGTTCAACACGCTATCTTGAAGAAGTTATGAAGGTATTGAACCATTTTCATTTTCTGGTAGCTTCTTAATTATGCTGTAAACTACTTCTGTGAAGAAAATAATGTCTTCGTGAAAGTGAACATATTGTCGTGTATAAAGTTGAGCTGTTGTCCATGTAAGGGTAAACAGAAATCAAAAACAAGCAAAAAAACTTATTTGTTCCTGATGGAAAAGGGAGAGGAGAGACTTTCTCTACTCATCTCAGAACCAAATAAGCCAGTTTTATAATCAGTAATATTTTTCTTAAGGGCTTGGAGACATCTCAAAATAATAATAAAAAAAAGAAGAAACTATTAAGGAAGACAGCACCTCTGCCCCCAATCTCATAGTTTAACTTAGATCTCTGGCTCCAACTTGTAACTATTCGTCAGAGAGATAGAAATAGTTTGTTGTTGTTGTTGTTGTTTTGTTTTTAATTGGTTCTTTTTAGTTATATATGACAATAGAATTCTTTTTGACATAACTATTAAAGCATGGAATATAATTTGTTCTAATTCAGTCCCTAGTGCTTCTCCTTCCTCTCAGAAGCAGTTTTATTATCTCTTTGGATAAAGGCAGTTGGCCAACACAAATGGTTAATTACTAGGTAAATTTATGATGAGCTTTTCATGACAAACGGTGTTACTCCTATTTGAAGACTAATAATAATGAAAAAATTATTCACGACACTTCTTAAAATGATTAAAGCAGATTTTATTCAGTTCTGCGGAGGGACTGCTCAGAGATTGCTGTAATGAAATTGTGTAGTGGTTTAGGTCAACTCCAAATACAACGGAGAGAAGTGGAAATTTTATAGCTAAGGTGAAGGGTATATGTGTGGGGTGCTAGTGCTGGTCAGTGATGGAAAGTTACTGAGAAAAAACATGGGAAAAGGGGGATGTTCTGGCTAAATGAGATTCCTCATGTAGGCAGGCCAAGATGATCAGATATCTCCTGGGGAATGGTGGGGAATGAGGACTTTGATCAGATATCAAAGTGAGGGAATTCTGTCTATACTAAGTGGGATTGTTGCTAAAATTGGGCTCTTAGAGGACATGTTAAGGGACATTGCCTAGTTGTACTGAAAGGAACCTGACCAAAAAAGAAGAAAATCTTTGTTACTTTTTACGTTGGGAACATGGAATGTTGTAAAATTGAAAATATCTACTTAGCTATATTAAAAGGTAGACTTTGTCTTTGCAATCTCCTTAGTAACTTGCCTATACAAGTGAGCATCAAAGGCCTTAATGAAACTGTTTCCTTATACTTTTGTAGATAGTGTTGATTGATCTTGTTTCTAATTATTTCCTCAACATCTACCTCATGGCACCCTCTGTACCCCACTACATATTCTAAGAGGTAGGGGGTTCATGGACAGAATTAGAAGTCTGTTGCCATTACCCTTTTTATAACTAGCTAGAGTAATATTTTTCTAACTTTTGTGTTACCCATTTCAAATTCTGGTAGGATCTGGATAGCTGAAGTGAATGTGCACAGCAGGTGGTTAAGGACTAGAAGTGTGCCCAGGCCAACAGCTGTCAGCTTTAGTCGGATTCTTTTAAGTGGAATATGAATTTTCACGTGAATTTACTTTTTTAAAAGATATAATGGATACGCAAAGCAAAGTGGACACTGCTAGTTCATGACCTGATTTAAATATATAGTTACAGTAAACTTGATCTGGAGCCCAGCTGCCTACCTTTCAGGATTCTTAGTATTTAGGTATTCTTAGTATTTATTTAAGAATGGGGATATGTTCTGAGAAATTTGTCAGTGTGTCATTTAGGCAAAATATGTTGAGTGTACTCAATGCAAACTAAGATGGCTACAATGTCACTGGGTGACATAATCTTATGGAACAACTGTAGTAGATGCAGTCTGTTGACAAAAATATCACACAATAGTGCACAATCATAGTTTAATTGTCAGTTTATGTCTTAAAAATGTCTTAAAGGTAAGGTACCTGTTATAAAACTGAATACACATCAGAAACCCACTCTCTTTGGATTAAATATTTTTAGCCTTACTGTTCCTGAGCTCTGCTAAGACAAATGTGGATCTTGATGTCTCTTTTGTAGTTTTGCTATGGTCAGTTCTTCTACCATTCTTAAATCTCTACTCATGACATCCCTATCCATTCTTGCTATTCCAATCACTATGATTTCTTACTAGGATTGATCCTAGAAACCTCCTAACTGACCCTGTTTCTTAACCTTAAGCCAGGAGTTGGCCTGAGAACCAAATCTAGTTTGCTACTGTTTGTAAATAAAATTTTATTTGTATAGAATCTTGTACATTTGTATGGTTCCTGGCTGCTTTTACACTACAATGGCAGAATCAAATAGTTGTGAGAGACATTATGTCTACAAAGCCTAAAATATTTGCTATCTGGCCCTGTACAGGAGAAGCTTGCAAACCCCTGCTATAAGCCGTTTTCTCCATACTGTAGCCTAAACAGTTTCATAAAGCAATTAGATCACATAGTGACCCCACTTGAAATCTATTGTTATCTTATTAGGACACCCTCAGTTTTGTCACTTTGCTATGAGTTTCTAGTGCCTTCACTCCCCCATACTGACACTGTTTTGTATTTTAGTGCTTAATCATCTTCCTTACTAGACTAAGGTCCAGATTTTGTTCTCTGTTTTATCCCTGAGATAGTAGGTATATAATAAACATTTATTGTGTTTCCTTTCATGTGTGTATTACAGGTACCTGTTTACTGCACTAAAACCGGTGTAAAACATTTGCACCACAAGGCTCAAGAGTTTGACATTGGAGTTTATTTTGAAGCAAATGGGCATGGAACAGTAAGTTCTCAAAGATCACATCTGGCCTTAGCTGGTACTTTTCTTTATAATTGGAAAGTTTTATCTGGGTAGTAATAGCTAATATTCTACTTTGTTGAAATGACTAGATGGAGGTCATAAGATTATTTGGTTTGTGTATATTTTCAGGTGTTGTGAAACTGTTTCTCTTTTAGATTATAATGATCTTTTGTGGAGATATACACTRATTTGTTCTTTTAATAATATGCAATACTTTATTTTCTTATAAGCAGATTATCTTTACATTTTCCTTTCACTAGCCATAGGAGGAAAAAGTTCAGTAGCTGTGTTGAATTAAGAGTTATAATTTGAGGAATTGAGTTTAGTATTTTTTAAAATATATTTTTGGTTGTTAATGGATTCAATATCTTTATTTTTATATGGTGCTGAGGTTCAAACCCAGTGCCTCACACATGCAAGGCAAGTGCTCTACCACTGAGCTATAGTCTCAGCCCGAGTTTAGTTTTTTAATGGCTTTTTGTGGGGGATACTGGGGATTTTGAACAGGGGTGTCCTACCTCTGAGCTATACCCCCAGCACTTTAGTTTTTGAGATAGGGTCTCACTAAATAGTCCAGGGTAGCCTCAGACTTGCAAGTCTCCTGCCTCATTGCTAGGATCATAGGCATGTGTCATCATGCCTGATTGTTTTTATGGCTTAGCAGAAAGAATATTTTGAAAAATTTTGACAAAATTCACATACTATAAAATCCACCATTTAAAGTGGGTTTTAGATTCCTGAGGCACAGGATTTTTTTTTAAAGCCTAAATGAATTTGAGGTGGTGAACAGAAAATTTGAATCTAGGTGCAGTCATTTTCCTCACTAATTCAAAATTGCCTTCTGGAGGCCATAAGTATAAGGAAAAGAATGAGAATAATATGTTCTTACAAAATGCAATTAAGATATAACTTCACTGATCTAATGCAGAGGTTGGTAAATGGTTAAGGGTAGGTAGAAAATAGTTTCAGCATTGTAAGCCATAAGGTCTCTGTGGGAACTGCTTAGGTCTGCTTCTGTAGTATAAATTAATGGGTATGACTGAGTTCCTATAAAAACTATTTACAAAACAGGCAATCAGCCTATATCTTATTTTACCCACAAATATGTATCTCATCAACTAGTTGAGCATAGTGTATTGTTCCTCCTCTTTATTTTTATATGGTGCTGAGGTTCTTGTGGGCTACAAAAGATTGGGTAGACATTTCAAAATAACAGGAATCTTGAACATGTTTATTATTATTTTTTAAAATTTTTTAAAAAAACTTTTATTTATTTATTTATTTTTATTGTGGTGCTGAGAATTGAACCCAGGGCCCCGCACTTGTTAGGCGAGTGCTCTACCTCTGAGCCACAACCCAGCCCTCCCTTTTTATTTTTATTTTTATTTTTTTTTTAAAGAGAGAGTGAGAGATGGGGTGGGGTGAGAGAGAGAGAGAGGAGAGAGAATTTTAATATTTATTTTTTAGTTTTCGGTGAAAACAACATCTTTGTTTGTATGTGGTGCTGAGGATCGAACCCAGGCCACATGCATGCCAGGCGAGCATGCTACCACTTGAGCCACATCCCCAGCCCCGAACATGTTTATTATTGATAATCTGTGACACAATCTGCCATACTGTGTTAAATGAGCCTTTTTTCTCATGTTGCTTAGCTAGTTATCCTTTAAAGGATATAGGCAAGCTTAAGTAACCCGCATTGCTTTCACTGATACAGGGGAAAACAGAATCAACTCTTACGTATTTTTTTTTTTTTTTTAACAGTGCCAGAGATTGAACCAAGGCTTTACACGTTAGGCAAGGCTCTACCACTGAGCCACATTCCCAGCCTGATAACCAGTTTTATCATGCACAAACTTTTCTCCTATTAATACACTTTAGATTTTGATCTTGAATTAATTAACATAAGGCTGGCATTATTTTCCCCCTTAGTTTCTCCAGATTCACTTACAGTGCAGTCAGTTACCTAACATGATATTACTTCTGACTGTGGCCTGGATGGTGTTTTGTGATATAATATGCTTGTCTTGTAGGCGCTGTTTAGTAAAGCTGTTGAAGACAAGATAAACCAACTCGCAAGAGAATTAGAAGATAAGAAAGGAAAAGCTGCTAAGATTCTTAGAAATATCATTGACTTGTTTAACCAGGTCAGAACTAATCGTGGGATTTTGGTTACCTTAACGTTATTTGGAAATTGGAAAGGACAATGTGTAACATTAAAAATTTAAGTGAAGACAGCCTGGGCTGGTGATGGCATATACAGTTGAGAGTTACAGTGAAATGGAGTGACAGAGATTTTTTTATATGCTTCCCTCTGACTTGTTGAATTCAGCAACAGTATGCGCATACGTTACTAATTTTTAAACCAACAAAATAATTCTTTGACAGGGGACATTTATATTGCTTATATAGTTGATATTAGAGTGGAGCATGGCTATGGAAGAGCAATAATTGAGACAGGGAAGTTCATTAGTGATGGAACTAACATTTGAGTGTCTTGTATAATCCTTGCAGTAATCAGGGAAAAGTGGTTATTATAATTTCCATTTTAAAAATGAAGAAACAAAAGCTTGTTTCTTTAAAAGTTTCAGTTGTATCTTACACCAGAGTTCATTTTGTCCATTTTACCATGATGCTTTCCATTGTACAGCTCAAAAAAGGCTCAATAGGAAAATTTGAGTCAGGCTGAAACCCTAAGTTATTCTTCTAATTTTATAGGTGAGAAGACAAAAGGCAAATTTCTTATGAGTTAGTTTCAGTATTCTTTGTATACCTTATCTTTCATGGATATCTGTATCGACACTCTAAATAATAATCAGCATGAGGACAACAAGCACTGGACACTATGCCTGATTTTCTAAGATGGTGAACATTCACCTGCAAGTTTTGCTTGTGTTAAGAGTGGTTTCTTCTGTTTTGTTTCCCAATCTTGCAGGCAGCTGGTGATGCTATTGCTGACATGCTGGTGATTGAGGCAATCCTGGCTTTAAAGAACCTGACTATACAACAGTGGGATGCTCTTTATACTGACCTTCCGAATAGACAACTCAAAGTTAAGGTCTGAGAGAGATGATTTTTCTGAATATTAACTAAGTTATTCTAAATCTTGCTATATAAAAATTTCAATGTATTATATTCTGGCCTATACACATTACGTAGAAAATAAGGCCTTATAATATCTTTCTCACATCTTTAAAAATTATAGAATAACACTGATAAGTATTTGGTTTTAAACTTTATTTTAAAGAATATTATGTGTACCTATGTATCACTTTTTTTTTTAAATATGGAAAAGTTAAATGGAGAGAAAACAAAATCATAAACTGTGCACCTAGCTTCAACAGATTTCTATTATAATTCTATACATTCTGAATATCCCCCATATTATTTTTATAGCTGTTGCTTCAAGTGAAAATATTTCCTCTGCATTATTTTTGGTTCACAAATACTTCTTGAGAGTAGATGCTGAGAAATAGAATCTATGGGCTCAGAAATTTTAAAAGTCATTTCAGATAAATTCCTATTAGATTAGTATATAGATTTATATCAGACTATACATTTTGTATTAGAATTATTGAAAGAAAGATACTAAGGCCAGAGATCACACAAATAGCTCCTGATTACTCAAATTTGTATTTGGCATATTTAAGAAATTCTTTTCATAGCCCTCTTAAATCATTTGATCAATGATTACACTGGGATCCAAGGTATGATGTAGAATTTTACTGGCCATTATTTTAGTGGTAGCTATGAGTCCAAAGGTAATTCTTGAAGAGAGAAGTTGTACAAATGTTGAAATTAATAATTCTGACCTTGGAGAAATAAAATTTTAATGGCAATTTCATCTTCTGTTTACCCTGATACTTCATTATTTCAGTGATATAATTTGTGGTACAATAAACTGAAATATTGTCATTAAAATGAATGAGGTATAATCTTCTGGTGGGAATTATGTTGAATGGGCTATACTTCTGAAAGGGAGTATAATATAAGGAGTATGAAATGCTTGTGCTTAGGTTGCTGACAGGAAAGTTATTAGCACCACAGATGCTGAAAGACAAGCAGTTACACCACCTGGACTACAGGAGGCAATTAATGACCTGGTAAAGAAGTACAGGCTCTCCAGAGCGTTTGTCCGGCCCTCTGGTACAGAAGATGTCATCCGAGTGTATGCAGAAGCAGATTCACAAGTAAGCTGGGATATAGTTCTATTGAAAAAATTTGAATGAGAGCCTAATAACATAGAGGGAAGAGGAGAAACAATATGAGAAGAGAGAAAACCAATAGTATTTAGAATCTCACTATGGTAATTGTTATGTCTTTGAGATTTGTTTGTAGAGCCTTTTAAAATCATTAAGAGTATAAAATTATCATGAGTAGTAGTGACACAGTTGAATAGATTTAGAGCCTGTTGGTCTAGTTCCCCTGATATTTTTCTTTCAATTTGTTGTAGACTTCTTGAAAGTGTCATATTTCTAATGGGAACAGGAATAAGTAATAAACCCTTGGTTTATACATTGAGAAGTAAATGATCCTTTTTTTTTTTTTTTAAACTGGGGATTGAGTCCAGGCATCTTCTACCATTGAGCTATATCCTCAACCTGCATTTTTTTTTTTTTTTTTGAGACAGGGTCTCACTGAAGCTGGCCTCAAACTTGCCATCCTCCTGCCTCAGCCTCCCAAGTAGCTGGGATTACAGACATGTGCCCAGTTTAGATTATTCCTTTGTTCTCTTAAAAACATAATCCTGTGATTTTTAAACTGCCAGCTTTGTAGCCTATTTCTAAACCAATTGGTACTAATCATCATGAGTTCTTAACTTGCTTTTTAAATGTTTGCATTAAATAACAGCCTTACTCTTCGCCTCTGCTATTTCTAGATGGGGTCAAGTCCTGAGGTCTGGAATTACACAATTTGCCTTCTTCACATACACCATATTGTCTGTCACCTCAAGCCCTTGATAAAAGTGTCTGCATAACCACGCAAAGTACACTGGTTGAAGAGGGTCTCAGATGGAGGCATTTCCAGTTAACTTATATAAGACCTGTATTATTATTTTTTAAACAGAAGCATAGGCCAGCTTGGAATACAGTGAGAATAGCCTTTATGGGTGAAGGAAAGGGTAGCTGAGTTGCAAGAGTTATTTCTCTTAGGCCAACTATGGCCTTCTTACCTGTTAAAGGGACTAGGTTTTATTGAATTTATTAAGTTTTGGAATAACTAATTTTATAACCTGAATTGATTAACTGAAAACTTACCTTATATAGAAGACTTTGACTTGCTTTCCATTTATCTAAATGCCTTGGAATTTGTTACTGAAAGATGAAAAAAGAAGTTTTCATTTGAATATGCTAGTGAAACAAAATCAGGAAATACCCTCCCCTAGAATGCAACTAAAATATAGCAGATGCCATGTCTTTCTCATCTCCCTTTATGTAATTTGCAGGAAAGTGCTGATAGCCTCGCGCATGAAGTGAGCTTGGCAGTATTTGATTTGGCTGGAGGAATTGGAGAAAGACCTCAACCAGGTTTCTGAAGATCATTTTTATATTCTGAGAAAATGGATTTTTTAAAAKYTTTGACAAAACTGTCAGTAATGGTAGTATCCAGACATTTATAATGTACCTTATCGGTTGTTTCTAGATTTGTTTTTTCTAAAACACTACCAGAAAATTTCTTGAGAAATACACACACTTTATAACTTGTTAAAGAAGCTTACCTCTAATTTCATTCTCACTCATGTAAAAATGTTAGGGCATAAATATAATTTAATCATTAATTTTGCAGTGTATGCCAGGAATAATTCATGCAGGTTGCTCAAAGATTAAATTTTATTACCACCTTCTTGTGATGTTTTTGGCATCGCCGTTACGCAACCAAGATGCAACCATCCTTGATACAAATGGGAGCGTGGAAAAGATTTGACACAACCAACTTTTTCATGGGAGATCTTAATAAATATGAGATGACTTACCTGTCTGCTTAGCACCGTCAGGAAATGAGAGGTGGTGGGGCCTGTGCTGTCTTTCTGAGGCTATAGGGTCCAACCTTCAGTTATTCTTCATGCTCTTAGTGAACGTATGTGAAGAGAACTGAATCTAGTATGTTACTAAGCCTCTGATGGCAAAATGACACCATTCCAATACTAGAACATGATTCATAACAGAAAGGAAAAAGTCCCCAATCTAAATTAAACTGAGCCTGAAACCAATAGAAAAAAATGTGCAGTGTGTATTTTGCAGATTTAAGACAACTGAGGACAATAAAACAATGGACTATATATGTATATATAGATCTCTCATAGGCACCATAATCAATATGAGCCAACAATATTTAAACTTGATTCAGGTCACATCCAGTCATTAGCTCTTATTTACAAATTTTTAAATTAAATACAACCTGAAGTGTGTTTTGTTACAAAAAAAAAAAAAAAAAAGAAAAGAAACTATACAACTCAGAGCAATGTGTCTGTTTGTTTTAAATAATTACATTTACATTTAAACTAAATGGAACCACTGGTGGTGCTCAAGTTTTTATCACTCCTTCGAGAAAATCCTTTTCTACCATCTCTTCTATTTTTTGCCTGGCTTTGCTGGAAAATGGTTTGTGGTTTTCCAGTTTCATGTCCTTAGTAGGGAAGGTGTTTGAGTAGAGGATGGGGCTCCCTGAGTGTCCTCCACACCGACTTGTGACTTTGCTGTTGAAGACTTGGCTGAGGACATTGAAGAATGGCAGCAGCTGTTCCATACTGCGCACTGTGCAGATGGTGAGCAGCAAGTGCCCTGGCTCCCAACCCAATGTTCTCCCTGAGTTATCTTCCTCTGGATTTTTCTGCAGAAAACAAAATTGAAGTTGTTATTAGACTATATGTTAGAAAAATTAAAAGGACCTAAACAGCAAAGTTTAAAACCCTTGCTTCTGAGGCCCTTTTAGTGCCATCTAACACCCCTCTTGTAGTTATATTTTCCAGTAGAATGCATAACTAAGTTTATTTAATAGAAATGATTCTAGACAAATATAAAAGCTGATGGTATGCTTTAGCATATACTCAAAAAAGCTCCTAGGTTTTTGGATTCTCACTAACATAACCAAGGACTAGATCACAAAATGATTATAAAAGAGAATTAAGAAAGCTTTATGTATTTCACCATTAGTAAATCAATTAATTTCCTTTTAACTAAGTAACCTAAACTTGCTAGAAGATAATAGCAGGGTATATAAGTGAATAATTACTGTCAATATTGCAGTACCAAGGAAGGAAGGGATCCTTCAGGGGAGACACTGCTATCATTTTCTGGGGAGGGAAGGAAAGCTGGACCTTGAGTCAAAGGAACTGGGTTAGTGCCCTGGCTGTGACATTTACTTACTGTTACATACCTGGGTAAGATATATAAAGGTTCCTCACTGATAAAATGTGAAGTCAAATGAGAATGTATGTGAAAACTCAACTAATGTAAACACCAGTAATTTCTTTATTAAGTTAATTCAGGACACTAATTAATACTAACAACTATAGAATCAGTCTGTCTAGATCAAAAGATATGAATGAACGGAAGATGTTTAGATTTGGACAAAATTGTAACGAAAATAAAATAATGAAGTATATATAAAAAAAGGAAAAAATCATTGAGACTTAGGAAAGAAAAGTATAGCTTGTCATATTCATTCACAAATGAAGTTTCCTTTCTAAAATCAGATACTGCTGAGAAACTTCCATTGTTTACCTAATTAACATTTTAGCATCATCAGTTTCCTAGCAGAGAAAGCAGATGCAGATCTAGCTTATCATATGTGATATCAAGATTTGTTTATTTTGGTGGTGCTGGGAAATGAACCCAGGGCCTTGTGCAGGCTAAATGTTTGTTCTACCACCGAGCTACATCCCAGCCCTGTTTGCTTTTTGTAAAATTTTAAGGAAAACATTTTAAACATAAGACTCCAAAAGCAAATAAGAAAAAAGACCTTTTAGTTTTTCATCTGTGGCTGAAAAAGTAAATACAACAACAAAACCCAACTATCCCTTAAATTTTACTTAATTATTTAACCTTTTATCTAGATAAGAGAATGAAAGATGTTTTTGTATTTTCTTTTAACTATGATATTGGCTTTAATGAGACTGATTTTCACATCACTGACTATCCTTATTCAACTACTGGCTGACCACACCACCTCTAGTCCATTAAATCAAACTGTAATTCAATGGTAATCAAAGGGTATAGAGAGATGAAATTATCTTGAAGGAAAATGAATACCATGCTTGTACCTTTTATGTAACTAATTTCCAAATGTAAGTGAATGATACAACCTTTCACTAATTTTTCTATAAAGATATGCCTTTCTGAGATAATTTTTTTTATTTAGCTCTTTACCAAGAACACACTTTTATCAACGTTTCTGCTGTTTTTATTCATAGGACTTTATCTTGTCCTCAATATTAAATCAAACTTGTTTTCATACAAACTTATTTCCATACTGATGAATTCAAAGGAGAAATCATTTGTTGTTGTTTCCATACAAATGATTTCTCCTTTGAATTCATCAGTCTACCCATAGAGAAAGACTTCCTTCCTGTTTACCTCTCTTACACTTGTTGAAATCCAGACCTGGGTTTATGTTTCACTATTTGGTCCAGATGTGGCAGCTCTTGCTGCCATATCACAAGCATCAAACAGCCACCCTCACCTGATGCTTGGCCATCTCCACTCCCTCCAAAATCACTGTTTTAAAGTCCTCCTCCTTGTCCTGTGGAAGGAAAGAGGAGAACTCATAGCCTTTGTTCCAGTGAAACATACCCTTGGCCATGAAGACCTTGTTTAAAGGGATTTGAATGGGAGATGATTTTCAATCAAAATTGTTACCTTATTCTGTAGGACAAGTTTTGGGCAAAAGACTGTCATACTTATCCTTTAGATAAGGGAGGGTTCTTAGTAAATATTCTCATTACTAATGAGATAAAGGAAAAATAGGGCACATGCCTGGGGTCATACAGATTTGACATGATTATTTTTTCAAACCCTATAATATCAATCAAAGTAAAAGTAACTCCTGTCCTAAACTGTGGCTCCAACTTTCATTCATATTTTGTCCTTTTATTTAGCTTCTAAAGAAGCAACTGTGATGAAGTTCCTTATGTCCTTCAAGTAAAACCTTTGAAAATCACTTTTCTCCCTGTGGACTTTGGTTTAAGAGCTGCTGCCTGCTTAGGGGACTTCATAGGGCCTGGCAATTTCTGAGTACTCAAAGCACATACTGCAAACTAGGTCTCACAAAATAACCTAGATTATCCCAAAATTTTGCAGTTTATTTTTCAAAAAAATTATACAAGACAAAAATTAATAACAAAGGCCCAATAATGAGCATGCCAGTTTCAATACTTTTWAAAAAATTTATTTATTTACTTATTCTAATCAGTTATATATGACAGCAGAAAGTTCGATTCATTATATACAAATGGAGCACAATTTTTGACTTTTCTGGTTCTACCCACTGCACCAGAAATTTTCTTTTTTATTAATTTTAAAAAATTTATATATGATAGCGGAATGTCATATAAATGACATTTATAATGACATATAAATGACATTTTCCTATTTCTGGTGTATACAAAGTATATTCACAAGGTCAGTTTATGGAGTGCTTGCCTTGCATACACAAGGGCCTGGGTTTAATCCCCAGCACCACACCAAAAAAGCAAAAGAACAAGATTCTCAATACTCTTCTCTAGAAGAAGCTGACATGCTCATTTCTGAGTGTGCTCAGAAATAAACCTGATGCATACTGAAAGATGTAAGAACATAAGCCATGACATAGATTTTATAAATCTTATATTCCTACACTTAACGATATATGTTTTAGATACATTCTCACTTTTTACCTTGAAGAATTTCTCTTAAGTGGATATTTTTGAGTTCCTTCACTATCTCTCTTACAGAGGTAATAATTTTGATCAGTGTTTTAAAAACTGCAAGTTGGAGGTAGGGTCTTGACAGCTATTAAAATGGAATACTGTATCAATAATAGGAACTATATGGAAGAAAATACTTCATTTTAAAGGCAAAGGTTTTTTTGTGAGAAATTTTAGATTCTGTTATGTAGCTATACTGGGTCAGGATATGGAATGCACGTCTTTCTGTCACAATCAAAATTGAACAAATTCTAAGCATTTTACTTCATATGAATGGAAAACAAATACTAGTGATTATTCCTCCCTTATTAATCTGATAAGGTTCTGAGTTTTGATTAACTAATCCTGTCAATTTATTAAACTTATGTATAATCTATACACAAACTTACTGATTCATATTGAAGTCAATCTTACATTTATTCTACAAATCCCTTTTAGTACTGCATTTTTTCTCAATCAGCTCATATCTTTCTGATTCTCATCATGGCATTAAAATGAACACTATGGGAGTTCATAACTCACTTGAAACTAATGTT